GTTCCATTAATTTACACGCGATGCAAGTAAGACTGACGGAACGATTATTTCCGCAGTCACGTCGTAAACCTCGTCTATGGATCGGCACGCCCACATCTGCAATCGAGAACGGATTTCCGCATTCCCCAGCTTCCTTCTCTTAAGACGCTAAGGGAACGAACGCCTTGAATATGATAGTCCAAGTCTAGTCCTCTTTTAGTTACTGGAAGGTCCGCTTGAAAAGTACGCAAACTTTGTTAAGAACATATCTTGATATTCATTTGAAGTGCTGTACAACATTGAGGAGCTTGCCAATGTGCACAAACACATTTCGGTTTTTCAGGCTCTGAGGATGTGTGGTGGCGTGTTGTCTTGGGGTGGAGGGCGGCCTTGGCCCTGATTTTCTGCGATCGGATGGTAACGCGTCCCACAACATCAGCTTTGGAAACTGCTTTCGGTGTGCGGATGTGGTTAAGACGGACACTACATGTCGGGTTTAACACAAGGACTGGCATTGTACCACGCACTGGACGTACGCACTTTATGCTCCATCCTTCGAGAACTGAAAAATGCATGGAAAGTCAGCGACATTTGCATACGCGTAGTGGGATTTCTGAAGGTGCGGAGACCGCAGATCACCCAAGAAATCCGACAATCAGGCGTTTGTCTACGAAAACGCACCCCTCAGATCCCAATGCAGGGCTTAGTGATGTTTTGTTCTCGAACTAACTGGGCTTCCTATCTGTTCTACCATGGCGGGCAGAACTGCGATGAATTCGTCAAGCGAACATGTTCATGTACTTCTCAATGATTAGGGATGATGTCATATCTGTCGCCGTGCTAACTAGACCTCACCTAGTTTATTGGTCTCCGGCGGCGTGAACTGGAGTCCTCCTCCATATTGCATCTCAAAATCTCGTTGACGCCTGCATAAGGTCCCTCAGCAGGCTGCCTAATTCTACTGCTTTCAACCCTTTGTTCATTTTCTCCTTCATTCTATTTATTTTTATCTTTTGACACAGCAACCAGAACAGCTGAAAAGGTCACCTATCCCTCCTCCGGGGTTGAAGTCCGTGTATTCAGAACCCGACGTTGCCTGTTTCCTTCTTAAGGTAAAATAAACGTGAAAGCGGATGCTTGATTTCCATGTGTGTGAGAATAAAGACGAAGATGACTTGTCGGACACCGGAACAAGTTCTTTCTTGTTCTGAGCTTTTGGACTCGTGCCGGAGTCTACTGTCAGAGAAGTCATGAACAAGTAATCAATCAACAGTTACAGGGGGTGCTAGAAAATACCGATTAATGATAGAGGGCCGAAGGTTACTGAGTAGGACTGAGTAGGACCCAGGTCGATACACCGATTGGCTAGGTTTCCATCAGAGACCCAGGCCTTAATCAATTCTTGCCTGTTTCGTTTCCGATATGTACTCCCTTGTCGGCGTTATCGCGAGGGGGCTGCTCGAATAGGACCTCCCTCTGACTACTGACGACAAAACCATTCTGTTCTACATCTCTATCGCCCACTCCCGTCCCTTTCTGCTGTTATCCCTTCGCTGAAAGGTCTTGTCCCGCGTGCACAACCACTCTCAAGCCAGACGCAGAGCTATCAAAAACCCCGTCTCTGGCTGCTTCTTCAGACCTGGCACGGGCATGGGCATGTCTCGGCTGCCACCTGAGAGACGCAAAACAGTCGGAATCGCATTTTTTCCCAGCCCCAGTGCACGATCCAGGCATATCCACGTAGACATCGTAAACCCCTGCCTCCCATTAATGGCTGCTCCAACAATCTCACTTACTTGGTCAGATTTATCCAGTAGCCGGAAGACATTCTTCTGTCCGATGTCGAGGTTCCAACGTGATCAAGCCCTTCCTCAGTCATCCGATTGCCATCTTCAGTTCCTCCTCGCCTTCCCCATTAAGACTGAACACGGTGCCCAACTTGGATCTCGTCTGTTCCAGTCTTTCATTTTAGGTCGTAAAACGTCCAGATTACAGCCCATCATCCGACTGTCAACGGGATATTTGTGCAGTCTAACCGCCAACGGAGTGCCATCGTACGTGCTATAGGGGATCCGGAGAACTTGATGGGCCATCTTCGCCTGGTATCGATGAGCAACTGCTCGGCCCTATGTTCGGACCTCTCCTGTTCCACCGCTGAACTGGTGTTCGGTCCCACTGCCGGACCGCCCGGTGAGATAATTCAGTAGTTCATTATAACTCAGTATATATGAGGGATAGAGGCAGAGCCTTGGAAAAACCCTATTTACAGATAAACGTTTGGAAAAAAGCATGCAGATGTTTTCATAGCAGTTATGCTATGCAAACCCTGGCAAGTCTGGTGAGAATCCAAGCCTCGAGACTGGTCTTTATCGTGCCCTCACAGAATGCGCTCCATCGACGCTCTTGGCGAAACCTTCTGTATTCGCCATATACTAGTAGTCTGGTCGCATCTCCCTCGCCCCATCCTCGGATGGACTCGGATGAATGTAACCGACCGCATCTGGGTTCCTGTCGCCTCGAGACTGGTTTTCAATTTCGCCACTTATTTGCCTTATTCAAGGCCACATACAGGCCAGTCCTGACTGGCCCGCCTACTTACCCCTTCATGAAATCCGTTATGCAATGCCATATACAGCTGAAATTTATTTCGGCCCTGACGACGTCCGATTATAATCCATTCTATACCGCCACATGCAGGCCAGTCCTGCCCACATTTTTCTGTTTCTATTTTTTTCGAGGGGTTTTTTTCTCCTGTAAAATTACTCCAATCATTTTTAAATTTTCATGTGGAGTTTTTTCACCCCTAGCTTATCATTTTTCTTAACGGACTTCTAATTCAAAAAGTTTGTATTGCACTTTGTACAGATTTTGCCTACCTCGTCTAAAGTTCGCAGGTAAATTTGTTTTTACTTGCTTTGATGGGACCCCGGCGGGTCTTTAATAAACAATTAGTATTATTAAAGAATCCAAGCCTCTCCCTGCACCATCTCCCCCAGTTTATGCGGACACTCCTCGGTTCTGCCAAGGCCAACTGTCTTCCAGTTCTACTTTAAAGAGCGACATAAACTCACGACTTTCTCCTCTGACCGAGTTCGCCGGCCATTGCAACCACTCCGTCATCGCCTCTTCCGGTTTGTCTCTCGACAAGCGGTACCCCTCATCTCCGCTGTCGCCAACGACAACTTCCTCAAAATCCCCCAGCTCCCTTGGCAGCACACACACTTAGTCCTCTTCTTCTTGCCCTCCGGATTATGCCACAGGCAGTGGACGTTATGCTCACTTCTCTGATACCTTACATTTCATGTTTTTTTAGACGTGAACAATTCCTTTGTCTTCGCTTCACGCCGTCTTCGGTCTAGCCGGGAGGCGCTGTAGTGGTCTCCTCGGCGAGGCAACAGCGACAGTTGAACTCCCTTTCCAGATGACTGTTTGCGCCGCACTTGACTCGGCCACGGTGTGACAAATGCTTAATGTCAATGGACTTTGTGCTCCCCGCTGATTGGTTGCATAGGGACAAAGGTTAGGCGCACTCGCGTTTCTCGTGTCGGGACTAACAGCATCAACGGCTGGCATCCGACTTGTTGGAACAATCGGTGCCACTGCTGTTCTGGGCCGTTTGTAGGCCCACTTGCTGAAGTAAAAGTTGTTCTACTAGGCCCTGGTTTGAGAAATTTCTTGTTGCCCACCAACCTTATCAATGAGGAATTCGCCTCAAAATAACCTCACCCATTGGCTAGTCCAAAAAAATCGAACAAATCAGGCACAACCTTGACATTTCCGCCATAGTAAAAAACCCAAGGAACGGAGAATTACTACTTAAGGCTATGAACAAGGCACATGCGAAGGTCAAATTTGCAATCGAGCATGAGACGAACGAAACACTGCCTTTCCTAGACATTCTTGTACGTACACGGGCAGATGGTTCCACTCAAAGGCTCATTTATCGAAAAACTACCTGGAAAAGACGGTACATGCCCTTCCTCAGTTTCTTTCCCATTCAGAGAAAACGAAACTTGGTTTTGTGCCTTTTCAACAGAGCCATCAGAATCTGTTCCCCGGATACAATCGATGACGAAATCACTTTCCTGAAGAATGTTTTCCTTAGAAACGAGTTTCGTGGAAATTCATCGATAAATATCGCTATCCCATGCAAGGAATTCCTGCTGAAATATCCGTGCCGAAAAAGCCGATGAGCATCTACCTCTCTTTCAAAGGTAATAGCGTATCAAGCGACGACTTCGGTGCACAATTCAACGGACGTACGTCGCCTCTAACTTGTTCCTTATAAGCACTACAACGGCTATTCCAGTTAGGCCAACTAAAGACATTCTGCCTATGCACGCCACATCAAATCGTATTTACGAGTTAACATGTAGTTGTGAATTTAAAAATATATTGGGCGCAAGCAAAGTCAGTTGGCAGCTCGGTCAGCTTAGCACATGCCGAAGTGGCTGCTAAGGGCGAAAAATGGGGTACCCAGGAGTTCAATTACGGAGCACCTAGTGGACACGTGTCATGCGGTGAACCCAATGGCTGCATTTAGGGTCCTACTTTGGGTGATGACTGGGCGTCTCCTGTGCTTTGCCGAGGCCGCTGCAATACGGAGGGGAAAACTGGAACCATGTAAGCAGTTGGGTCACGTGATCAACCTCGCACCGCTATGGTAAGGATCGATAATGGACGTAATCCCATTCCCATACCCGTCCTCTCGCGTATGTCGATAATGGACGTACTCCCATTCCCATGCCCGTCCTCTCGCACATGTCCCCTGCTCTCTCTCCAACATGAAAAAAAAAATCCCAGTTTGTTGGTAATAAACAAAATGTTTATTTGAAATGCAAGAATTCTGCCATGCAGCGTAAAACAAATGTCTATTTGGAGTGCAGAAGTAATGCGTAGACACATTGAAGGGGGGCATATGCCCAAATTGCAATGAAACCAGAAAGAAATAACTCAGAAGATGAGGTTAAATTACTGGTGAATGCAAAGGTACAAAAAAAGTCGCAGACTCGGTGACAGCCCTAAACTGAGTCGATCTTTGGTGCCAGGGCCAGCCCAGTACCCCCAACCAGATCGGCCTTAAACTGGGCATAGCAGAGACGGGCCTCACTGCGCTCCAGTTGAAGCATGTCTGCCGGTTCCATCTCTACCTCGATACCACTGAGCCGTTTGAATACAGTGGCCGCCAGTCGCGCCGTATAGATCTTGGAGGTTGCACATTGGTTTAGCAGACTTGTGAAGCCCAAGTAGTGCCCTTTGTGCTCGTCGAAGTTGACCTCGATGGTCCGATAATTGTTGGGACAGTAGCCGCATCGCGGATCCGTCGGTGGCAGAAGGATGACCCGACAGTGACAGAACTTTTCAATCTTTATCAGGCGCCGACTCTTTGCATAGTGCGCCACTATTGGGTCGAAGTCGAATGGCACGTAGTAGATTTGTCTGACCACCCGTCCCGTGTGTAGACGCTAGAAAAAAAGATCATCGGAAGCATTGCAGTCAGACAGTGGGCCCGAACACCCACCCCCCCCCCCGGTAATTTCTACCACCAAGACTCACAGTCACGAGAAAAGTCGAGAAACAGAACATGACTGCACGTCTTGAAGAAGGAGACACGATCGCTGGGACAAGAGCTTTATTAATCTGACGTTTCGAATTCCTGCTCGAACCCATCATCAAAGACAAAAGCAGAAACGGGTGGTTGATGCGCAAGGGGCTGCAGTATTTATAGAATGCAGTAACCATGCATGCCATAGGTATGCGGTAACATGGCTACTGCATCCTATAAATACTGCAGCTCCTTGTGCATCAACCACCCGTTTCTGCTTTTGTCTCTGATGATGAGTTTGAGCAGGAATCCGAAACGTCAGGCTTATAAAGCTCTTGTTCCAGCGACCGTGTCTCCTTCTTCAAGACTACTTCCTGGGACTCGTCTCTTCGCCTCTATTGGACATGACTGCACGTGTTCATGTAGAATGCGTGCGTACCGATTCACTGGCCTCCCGAGGCAACCAAACTCGGGCTAGTTGGCAGATGTCACGAGTAGGCAGCCAAATGCCGGATCTAACTCGGTCAAGGTATGACGGCAGAATACGGACGAAACAAGTTGGTGTCGAGTTGTGGCATATCTGTCCTCAAGTCTCTCCCTGCAATCATGGCTTGACTGAGCTCGGCCACATAAAAGCTTGTCTGTTCGTGAATTCTGCCAACCCATTCGCAGTTCGTTTTGAGAAACCAATGGAACGGGGTACGCTCATGCATGTATGGCTCACTCGCGAATATGACTTTCGAACCGCTCCCGTGTAAACCTGATACTGATCCAGCTTGTGAATGGCACGCGTGACGGGTTGTCTAGACTTGTCCTCCATTGTGTCAATCTCAGCATCAGCTAATTTGCAGGCGCAAACAGTCTACAGGTGTCTGGTAGAGGGAAACGGGCAGTCATTTTCCCCCAGCACATTCCTCTCTACAATAAATCTGACACGCATGAATCTATCAGGAAACGCTAAAAGTTGTTACTTTGAAGACTATCCACTGATGGAATAACTCGGTTGTCGTAGTTAGCACTGCGCGGCGCCTGACTAGCGGACCGAGTCAGACTGCAGAGTCTCTTAATGCGGCCTTTATGACACTCACGTGCGCGTGATCTGAGCCACAACCACAGACGTGGACTGCACGCAGCGGGAACACGGTCGTGTGTGGCACGCGTAGACGGTGTGGCAGGCGCTTCGCAAGTCGACCCCACCATAAACTACTCCGTGCCCAGGCCGTAGGGGCTTCGCCCACTCCGTGCGACCCCCAATTGTAGTCGTCATCCACGGGGGTCGAACTGTCATGAATAAATACCCCACCTGCATCTCGACAGTGAACACCAGGTAATGGCGAGGCATTGATGAACCCGGCTCAACTAGATGCCTTAAGACTCCCGTATGAACCGTCTGCGCCCTGTGTACACGTTCAAAGATTGTGCTTTAGTTTACACACAATAACTAAGGTTATGACTGATTGGATGAAGGCAAAATAGGTCTAAATTGGTTGTATATCAATCTGCCCGCTGCACAATTCACAACTGTCCTGTTCAGCATCTACCTATTTCTCCATTTTTCGACGCTCATTGACGAACCGCTGTGACTACCTTTTTTCGGACACAGTGGCGGCTTTTAGTACCGAAGCTTTGTGTCATTTCCGAAGTTTCAAGTGGATGTCTGGTAAATCATTCTACTCAGCCAGTGCATCAAAACAGTTTTTTGTGACCCAAACGTGTGCTACTTATCGGCCATAGGCCGTACGTAGAGACATCTGTGTCGACTACCGGCATTGCGTACCAACCATTTTCTGACTGGCAATACTGTTTTGGATCAACTCTCGCTTCCTCGGACGTACATGCTTCAAAAGCATCCGTTTTAGTAAGCAGAACTTCAACTGTAGCCTTCACTGGCATTGTGACTTCGTCGCTGATTTTAGTATTTTATATAGTCCCGCGGATACTGTTTACAATATCCATTGCTTAGACCACCTTCATGGCGATGCCAGGCGGTTTGGAGTGCTCGATAATTCTTCGGCATTTCCGTCCGAATCTTTCCCACAAAACGTTCGCAATTACACAAAAAGGACCAGCGGACGTAGCCGCACAGGTGTACGGGCGCCTAAATGAGAGACGCCTGTCTGAGTTTCCACGGGTGTCATGCTGTTGGAAAACAATGAGGGAGTGCGACGGTCTTTTCAATTTTCCCCGCAGCTCCACTGTTTTTTTCCATAATGGGTATGTATTTTCGACCCAAACACCCAACAAGGGGGTACTTATCAGTGAAAGACCGTGCCGGCTACCGGCATGGCGTACCAACCCTTCGTTAACTGGCAAGACTCTTTTGAATCAACTCTCTTCCTCCGGCTTGCTTCGTTCCAAAGCTTCCGTTTTAGCCGGCAGAATTCGTTCTTCGCGAATAAAATTTGAAGAAGACTTAATTTGCTACCAAGTGGGCAATAGAAGGATTATTGTTGTACACGTATTCTATAAAATGTGTTTGAATTTGTGGGGATATCAAAAATCGACAGGAATAATTCATGCTACTTAAGCAGTCACTTTAACGGAATATAGTTTATGCAAGTAGTTGATAAGAGGATCATTCAAAAGCCGGCATCCTGGTGTGACTGGAGTTTGCTTAACGTTACATGGCAAAATACTTAACAAGACAGCCCTACTTAAGTAATATTTTCGAATTGAAAACATACTTCAGAATTCCAATCTAGACTTCATGAAACAGCCTACATGCTGTCAACGCTGATTCGTCACCACGCTGTTCGCTAAACTGGGATTTTCACGGAAGCCACAATCATTATCTACCTCAATCCAGGTGATTCGGGCGAGGGACGTGGGAACGAGAGAAATTTTAGAGGCCTAGGGACCCAGGTTTCAATACCCTATCCCAGATAACTGGTACATTAAAAGGAGCATGTTTGTGTGACTTACATAGATTCTGGTCTGAATTGTGTGAATAAGGAGGGCGTAGGAGGTCGGGAGGAGTTTTTCACGAATCCATGTTCCGAACTCATATATGTAAAAACCGAATTCAACCAGCCGCAGAAGAAGAAAGGGCGGCTGCACTTCAAGTTCGTCTATGAGCATTGCAATTTTACCATTAATATTCTTCAGCTCAATTTCAAAAGGGCTGTAGCGCAGGCTTTTGATGAAATCATTAAGCAGGCCATGCAGTTTTTCCATTGCTTCCAACGCCTCTTCGCAGGGCCTGAAATTTCTAGAAACAACATTCTCCAGCGCGTCGGAAAGTTTCTCAAACAGCTCTTTCAGCGTTTCGTAGATGGTTGTGAGGATTTTTCTCGCGGCTGGGGTGATCTTCAGGGATCTCTCGTGGGCATTTTCGCCGTGCTCGTTGTACACCTTCGTATACCTCGACTGTCGTCCCCGTGATCCACCGTACATACTCTGACCAGTGGACTGACCTTGCCGCATTTCCTCTGCCTCCTCGGCCTCATCGATCTTTGAGAAGACCTTGCTCTTACTCCTGTCCGTCCTCCGACTGCTCACCGTACTTCGTCGCATCTGAGACATTGACTGAAAGTTCCTCTCGTTGACATCATTCATTGGTTCCTCGCGTCCGGCGCTGGATGTTTCAGTCTCCCGCGGTTGTGAATGTATCCGAAAGCTCCTGCTACTAACCGCCTCCACCTCTCCTTCCTCCTCGCCCTCCTCCTCCTCTGCTTCGGCGTGCATGTTGTCCTCGTTGTAACTGGGAGTCCTCATGGAACCCGGTGCAAAAGAGAAGGTGTGGGAGCCGCTGCGACCGTCGACGTCTTCAACAGGAGAAATCTGTTCTGCTGACGGTTGATAGCTAATGCTCTGGGCAGGTACCTCGGATGCCGTGACCGCAGGTTGACACCCGGGAGGACACACAGGCGAACCGTTAATGGTAAGGTTCAGGGAGATTGTTGTGGGCTGATTGAAATCATTGCCGCACCTCGCCGGACATGTGATTTGTGTCCTCACCTTGACACTGCTCTCCGACTCGTCCTCATCCGCCCCAGCATTGTTGACACTGACGTCGGGTACCTGAGGACAGGGAATGCTGCGCAGGTAGGGTGAAGTCATTTCGGCGGACCTAGAATGTCCCGAACCGCCAGAGCCTGCCACGGTCTCCCGAGTGGAGGGGACAATAGAAAACGCAATCGATTTTTCGCATTTGAATTGGATAGCACGCTTGCGGGGGAACGTGACGGGATCAACCAACCAATTGGAGGCGTGAAGCCCGGCAGCAGATATGGTTGTTAAACAGAATACAGGCAGCCTAGCAAGCCGTCCCATCTGGCGTGTCAATGTGAGTGTCCGCCGTTGTGATTTTTTACCCCCCGGCGTGCGTCCGCCTTTGCTCTATCTGAACTGCGTCCACTTGCAGCCAATCAGCGAAGGGACCGAGTTGATTGGCTGGTGTCAAATCTCGGTCGATTCCTGTAGCATCCCGTCTACTCCTTGTCGCGTATGTCTGTCTGATCGACGTTGTCCGCGTCTGATGCTTCCGCAAGTCCTGTGCGTGTTTCATCGACGTAGCCTCTTTC